TATAGGCTGAGTTCAATTTATTGACGTTATCAATACTATAAGATCCTTATACAGTCCACACATACAGATTTCATAATAAAATAATATAAATTCAATATAATTTTATCAGTTTTGATCCTTAATTTTTAAGGGTACATGGGAACCTGTCAGAATGCCCAATGCCAAGGGATACAGAGGAACAAAAAGGTTGGGAATCCTTGCTGTAAGAGAACTAAAGTATTGAACACTTAACAGTGTTCCATGAACAGATCAAGCAAAGGAAAGTTTAACTGTTGTAGTAATTTACTTGGGTTCTGTCACTGGTTTCCAGTTATTTATTCTGTGAGTTGCACATTCCACAGTTCTTTCCTTCATCGTTTAACATGCTAATGAGCTAATGCTAACAGAACTCACATGAAAAACACATTAAGTAAACAAGTTATGTTGAACACAATCAAATTTACAGCAATAACTTAGCTTAGAAGAGAAGCCTATTCTCAAAATCAGTTTTTCTATGCTTTGAGGAATCTCAAGATGCAGTAGTTGTATCAGCCACTTAGTCATCTTTATATTTTATTGGTTTGACAGTTAATTAGTAGCTAAGTGTTGAAGCATCTCTCCTGTGAGTAAATCACATTCAAATAGAACAGTGTCATTAAGTGACCAGTGGCTTTGGCAGTTAATTTGTCTCTTACAAATTCCACATAATGTATAATTCATCTGCAATTATTCATCTTAGTTTTAACCATAGAATAATCACTAGAAGAGTTCAGGTAGTTTTGTTTAGTTTATATTTCTGTAATAAATTGTTGATCTTTATGTGGATTAAACTATCTGTCAATAAAATGCTTCTAATATGCAATTATTATACTGATAACAAATACAGTTTTGGAATCCCTTCTTATGGTTATTGTTTGATCAATGTTTCACTTCTTCACTGTTTACAGTAGACTCTTTCTGGCTTGGTGTTTGTCATGAGAATTTTTAAAGTGATGGTATCACTGTGAATTAGTAAGAACTGATCAGTTGGTTATTGCTTATACTTTGAAGTTATGAGATACTTGTGGTTTATACATAGCCTAAACGTGAGTTACATTATGGTTCCAATGTCTCTTACAGCTGACGAGAACAAAGAAGTGTTACTTGGCACAGAACATGATGGTAAAACTTTAACAGAGATGGGACTACTGGATGGAGACTGTCTGTATGCTTTCAATGAACTGAATAGGGATGTCAAAATAGACAAGCAGAATTGTTCAGTGCACATAAAAGTTTTCATTCAAAATAGATGTGAGGTAAGTTATTTTAGGAGAAAACATATTACAGAATGCAAAAGAACTAGACTTCATTGCCCAAAAATGTTACAGTAATAGTTAGTGTCCTTAGAAAAATAACACCAGAAGTGAATTGTGGTTGTAGTAGCTCGTTTGTTTGTATGATGTCTGACCAGAATAACTTGATGACTTATCCCTGCTCAAGCATTATTACATCTGCGTGTATTTTGTGTCTCACCGAGCAATGTAACTTAAGTGTACTGACTGCTGTTGCTGCAACAAGTAAGTGAATGATAAAACCTTAGTCTTACCAAGGAACAAGTTTATCTCATACTACTTGCTAAGGTTACAATTAATACCCAGTCTGTGAGTCAGGAAGACATTTTCGGCGAGTTGATTCCTAAACAAATATTTCTGGTACTCTCCTTTTTTCTAAAATTTGGAATAGAGATTTGAACTTTTACTGATATCTGGAATATGAATTGCTCACCAGCATGGCCAAACTTACACTAATTTCCTGGATATGACAGAGTAAAACCCATATCTTTCCCCATCCAGATTTCCACTCAAAACAAGATAGTGGCAACACATGTTCTGCAGGATAAGATCTAGTTCCTTAGCTTTATGAAGCTGATTTCTCCAGGGTTTTCATAGGTTTTATTGATAGAGATGGTTGAGGAAGGCATACACTACCAGTGTATACGAAAACAGTACTATGGTCTCTCCAGTCATCATTGTCTTTTGATGATTTCTGCTCAGAATCATAGACAAGTACTCACTAAATCAGTTGAAGGAGCTATACTGGTATGTGAAGAATATGATAGCAACAGTAGTTGTAACAGAGCAGCAGAGGCAGCAGCTGCAATGGTAGTAATAGCAATAGTAGCATCATGGCAGCATCATCATCTTAGCACTTAAGGGAATGTAGACCAATCAATGATTTTATATGTTTTAGATCAGTCAGGATCTAATATTTATGTCTCTGCAGAGAGACATGTTGTTTCTTTTTCCAAACTATTTTCAACTGACTGTCATTCCTTCATTTCTTGGCAGATTGACTTGAAACTTGGTAGGATTATACCTTGGTCTAATATGCCCAGACAAATTTTTAATTTTTTTGATTTAGACCTTTTTAAGGATTTTATGGGTTCAAAGGTTAAACAATCCAATGTATATTTTGGCTCCTGTGCAGTCATATTTACAGCAATCGAGATGAAAATATAAATATAAATTTTCATGTGTCCAACACAATGATGTACCAAATAGTTGGATTTGCCCATTGTTTTAGGGATCAGAGCTCACAAAAAAGCATAATATATAGTTTTTATATATATATATATAATATACAGAGGTTTTGGTCAATTACTTAGCCTTGTTTCAACCAATTTACATGGAATTTGGTACAAAGATACTTTTCTCAATGCAATACACATTGACAAACAAAAATGTTGGAGTTGCTCATTTTGAGTAATTATAGGAAGTCAAGATTCCATAGAAAGCATAATTTTATGGTTATTTCACAATCACTCTGCCATATTTTAGCCAATTTACATGGGATTTGGTACAAAGCTACCTTCTTGCAGTTCTTCCAAGTAGTGATGTAGACAGTTTTGTATTTTTCTGTGTTTTTCACGATTTTTCTAGTGTCAAAATTTACTATGTTGGAATTGCATTTGCCTATAAATGTTGGCCTTTTTAATCATAAGCACTTTTTATTTGATCAATCATGGTACGCCAACAGGAACAATTTTACTGCTTTTTGTGAGAGGAACATGGTTTGGCCAACCCCCTAAACTTTGCATCTTCATGGCTGAACACAGTTGAGAGGTGAGTTCTTTGGGCTGTACAGTGTTTTTTAGGACATGTTTAGCCCATTATTAGATTCCATTATTTTGGTTTTAACTTAAATACCCGAAACTGTGACATGCCTCTGTAGCCCACTCAGTTCCCTGATTTTGGTCTAATCAACTCACAGACTGGTTGTTAATAAATGAAGGCTTAAAGATTGCTCATTTTCACAGGATATTAAATAATCGTTCATTGAACTACAAATTACTTTAAAGTATGGCTCCTAATTGTTAACTGACCTGCTTCTCTTTCACTTAGCCTGACTGTTTTCTGACATAAACCTGGATACATTATATAGCTTTTTTTTTAAATATTTCTAGCATTCTGAAATAGGCTAACATTATTCTTCTTCCATTTCATAAAATTCAGCAAAATTCTTAATAATGCTTATACCATTAAAAATATATAGCAAGAGCGAGATGTGTTGGCCAAATTACAAAGAGTAATCTATATAAATGTAATAATACTGTCTGTCCAGCCTGGTATGGCCAGGTGGCTAGGGCGCTCGACTCACAATTTGAGGGTCGTGGGTTCGAATCTCTGTCCCACCAAACATGCTTGCCCTTTCAGCCATGGGGGTATAATGTAACAGTCAATCCCACTATTCGTTGGTAAAAGAGTAGCCCAAGAGTTGGCAGTGGGTGGTGATGACTAGTTGCCTTCCCTCTAGTCTTACACTGCTAAATTAGGGATGGCTAGCATGGGTAGCCCTCGTGTAGCTTTGTGCAAAATTCAAAAACAAACAAACAAACTGTCTGTCCACATAACTACTTCGCAGGGTATGGATGG